TATATATATATATATATATATATCTGCATGTTTGCATTGAGTATACGTGATTTCTCTTATGGGATGTTAATTTATTAGCTAATGATTGATGATTCAACACTTGTTTTGAGTTGCCCCACAGCCAGCGGATCAAGAAAGTGAGAAAGCGTTAGAGCAGTTGCTATCCCGTGCTGACCTATCACTGGTCTCGCAGAACCAACAGAAACAGTCTGTGTTGATGCTCGCTGCGATTCACGGCCGCGTGGATCTTGTTCAACGGTTGCTAAAGATGCATAAAGTTCCAGTGAACCAGAAGGACTCTGAGGGAAGCACTGCCCTCATGGCAGCCGTGGAACATAATCACTTGCGAGTGGTCCACCTACTGCTGTGCCAGCCGGACCTGGATGCTGAAGTGCGCGATAACGTAAGTAATCCAGCTACGTGAATTTCTGCATTCGACCAACAGAGATGGTTTAATCTATGCAAAGGTTCTGAGGTTCACACACACACACACACATTGGGCCAGTCTAAATACAATCCGCCTCTATGTCTCCTCCGAATAAAAAAAGCATCTAGTTTGGTCAATTGGTACTATCGCATCACATGAAGAGAAGAATTGCTAAAATGTCCGCAATGCAGAGATAAATTAGCAAATACCTAGGCATAAATGATCCTGACTCAGAAGAACGCGAGTTTGTTGTGTGATCCTAGGAGGGCAAGTCAGGCTTGTATGTCACCGTTTCACGTAACAGGAGCAACCACATAGGCCAACGTGGAGAAGGGGAACATAAGCTAAACGGAAGCTGGTCAACAACAGTCTCGATTATTTTACCTGTACGACTACTAAATGGACAACGTATTGCATTGCAGAGAGTGAAAATTGGAGTAATAAATCAATTATGAACCCAGTAGTAGCATATTACTAAACCCAAGTGGTATATTACTAAACTTTATCTCGCGATACTAGTCACCAGCTCCTCACCGAGATAAGCTTCCGCTACATCAGTCTGCCAACATTTCGACCATCCGGTGGGAGTGACTCAGGCAAATCTGTGGGTATCGTGGCTTAACAAAGAAGTGGCAAATTTCCAAGCGGAACTCAGGCTACGGCGAAGTGACACCGACCAATGTGGTTCCATCGATGGAAGTACTGGTTGCCTTGAATACTTGGTAACTTATCAAAGATATGCGAACTAACGGCAAATGCATCAGGTCGCTAAAGTATTCTTCGCAGCCTCCAATAAGCGTATGTTTCCAAGAGAATACCACCCTGACTTATCGAGCAGTACTTAGTTAATATTTTCCCTAGGTGAATCACACAACTTTCTGGGTCCGCTCGATTTGATAGACTGGTAGTTGTGAGCCAGTGATTCCATGCCAGAAATGTGTGCCCGACAGAGGCCTCCGAGTCCGTTGCTAATTTACACTTCTAATTACAGGATGGATGCACCGCTTTGGACATAGCACTGGCTCGAAGACATCACGAAATCGCCCTGATGATATATGCGACGGTGAAAATGCGGCAGCTATCACCACGAACCAGAGTAAGTGCATCATCTCACGTTTGCGCGTATTCACTACGTTGATTGAAAAGTACAATCACAGCGGACTAGCTGCAACGGTGAACAGCGAAGAAAACACGTAATCCGTCCGCCTTCACTAGCATCACTCAAGGCTAGTCGAGTTACGGTGACCAGTACTCGAGTCGAGTACTGGAATGAATTTCCGAACACACGTCTTCCATGGGGATGAATACGAGATTTCTTGTACGAGACTTGTGATAGTCGATGGGTCGCGTCAAACCATCTGATCCAGTAGAAATGAGCAGACACTATTGATGGAAAGCTAATATCAAGCAGTGGCATTAGGAAAGGATTGCTAAGCTAGATAGCAAAATGGATTAGTCATTCACGCTATGGGGCAGTGTATATTTAGAGTAAGGGAGCTTTACCGTTGGTTGGTCGCAACCCACATTTCAGCCTGAATAAGAGTGGAATTAGTGACGAAGCACAGTGCACAGGCGGTTAGCCTCCAATCGCCGAAAGTAATTCCCTCAGCTTAGTTGTACAGAGTTGAGCATTGGTAGATTTGGATCAGACTATAAGAGTGTGGCAGACGGAAAGCGTCTCAGTAATATATCACCTGACTAAGTAGCCCGCGTTGCAATTTTGGTAGACCTAATTAGACCCGCTTCCGCAGAAGTGGCTGAACTCCAAACACAGAGATAGTACGTGACTCACTAATGGAGCAAGAAAATCCCATTCAACGTGCTAGTCTAGTTAATCCCTTATTTTGATGAAGAAAGGCAATGGAGGTGAACACTGGAGCATCAACCAGCGTAAAAAAATAAGAAGAGTGTTGACGCTAGTAAAATCGAAGGTCCATGGTAGCGTACTCATATCATGTCCAAAGTGTCAATCTGTGACGCGGAAAACCAGGCAGCCTGTTGTGTGTTTCATGGCAACGGACTGTGGCTGAATTTAGATACATCCGTGTGTAATTTGCCAGAGCTCCACAGTTGCCTTCATTATATCCTGCACGAGTATGTGTGTAAATTTGTTTTGAGCTGCCCATCACACTGAAGAGAAATGGATGAATAAAGCTGAGGAAGCATTATTTCGCCAGTCGGTGGTACCATTCAGATTAACCTAACTTTGCTGCCGTTTCAGCATGTGCACTGGCAGAATTTGTGCAAACCCAGTGGAGTACCAGCGAGTACAATGGATGCACCGGGCCGAATCGGAACAACCACAACTTCCATGACTACGACGGACCGTTTAGTCCAAAAAACAAGTATCACAACAACAGATTGTAAAGTTACTGTATGTAATAAGACATGACTGATTCATTTGGTTGTGTCACATTGTAACAATGATTGTTTTGATGCCATCGATCGTCTCAGCTGCGGACAGCGGGTTTTACAACTCGAGTAGCAAGGTCCGAATTAGGTCCTTATAATAAGATGTAAAAGGCACTAGAAGGAGTGCTGGGTTTCGAAAAGGACCTCCAATGATACACAAGGGACTATTTGGTATTGTTTAATAACGCACTAAGCGATGTGGCAGAGACTGCATATTGAACACACTTACGCCCATGTGCTAATTTTGTATGATACTGGAGGATATGTGTAGAGGTAAGGCCGTAAAACCACGAGTACATGAGCGGTAGGAAATCTAGGCAGGGATCTTCGCGATTAAACTCAGAGAACGATAGACGAAAGCAGAAGCATTACAGGACTATTGCAAGCGTTCGAGGCTGGTCATCAGCGTGCAGCCCTCCGGCCAATAAGATGCTGGTGACTGCAGTCCAACAGCCCGGGAATTAAACCTGAGCGCCACGATGGATGCCGGCTGTAGACAGGACTGACACAAACGGATGGAATGAGACAGGAAGTAGTAGAGCACAAGAGGGTTGGTGAAAAGTGGGTAAACTTAATCGAGAAAGGATACTAAGAGCTGGAAGCAAGAACTCGAAAGTAACGGCGCTACTGACTTGTTGACTACGCCCTATATGATCACGACGTCTCCATCCACAAAGACGGCACGTGATTTTATACCATGCCATCGACTGAACACTTCGTGGTTCCACCCAACTGGATGCAGTGGTAGCATAAAATGTACGCGAAGGAAAGAATCAACGAGCATATAGTGGATATAACTTGGATGATGTAAGTGGTTAAAGATTCACATCCTAGCGAGGCGAGAGAAAATGGTACTTCCCGTACTAATCGACGAACCTCACTGTCGCTCATAAAGCGTTGCGACAAGATATGAGCGATAATGCACTATCACAGATGTTCAATACTGTCAGTGCGAAGTGGTCATATTCATGACACACACAGCATTACCCGCCTTAACGTAGCATTTTATGCCCTACTTTCGACTGATAGGTTGATATCTAGCTATCTCTACAAAAGACTGACACCACAGAAAATCACAAGGGCCTTGTTGATGCTTGCAATGACCTCAAGAAATGATACAATTACAAAGGTAGGTGAGTTCATTGATCAGTCTCAGCGACACCAGGATAGACGGTATGTCGGCTGCTCTGTAACGATACCCAGTATCATGGCAGTGCAAAGATTATACGGAAGCACTAGTATTCCGTGTTAATATATTTAAGAGTGCTTGTACAGGGACAGTGTTCGACTAAAGGAAAGCTGTCGTCTGTATACTTCGGGTTTTTCTGTCGACTAGTTGGTAGAACTTCAGAATTGTTTAAGAGAACAAAGTCGTTTGTGACCATTTCGATCACGGGAGTTCCACATTTCGTGAGGTTTGCCGTACGGCCGCACGTTATCACGGCTCTCGCTTCACACGCGGTGGCCATTCCAATTCTCCACATACATTCTTGTGAGTGCGCTCTTTCGAACCAGTTCGGCGAGCGCTACTCACTGCTTCCCATCTCTTAGATCTAATTTGTGTGAATAATCTTGGTACTCCCGTTCTCAGTTTTGACACATTCCTTGTCTTGTTATGGGCATGAAATCACATCACTCCTGAGCTTTCGACAATAATTTTGGTCTCATTCGGAAGCAGAAACTGAGGACTCTCAAACGACCCTACAAGCATTCCTACGCGCAGCAACATAACAAAGTTACGCGACATTTTGCGTCGCTCACCCACTAAACACCGAGGCCGAGACACTTAGGGACGCTTGCCAACGCCCTGCTTGCTGCGTCGTGTAACGCGACCTGACCCGAGTCTTCGTGTGGTTGTGTGTGTACCGCGAAATCCGGCAATCTGCGGGTGATCGTGAGAGAGGCAATGAGACAGTCATCGTTCTCGGCAGACTGAACTTGAGGCCAAAACAATCAATCCAGGGCCCACGTTCAGTGATCTGATGAGGCCGAGCGGTCGATCCTTGGTGCCTAAAGGCGCCTGTGGACAATGCAAAATAGGGGACTCATGTGGAAACTGTTCGACATATGTCATGCGAGGTGTAGGAAAAGCAAACCAAGCGAGTTTAGGCTGATAAGCAGCAGGCCAGACATAATTTGGTTCTCGAAGTGTAATAATGGCGCACTAGTTAAAACCGGAGTTGCACTGTCACAGAAGTATGATAGGCTGGCAGACGTATTAGAGAAAATTTTGGGCACCAAAACAGCTTCAGTAGGAACAAACATTGCAGAATGTCTGGCACAGATCTCTCCAGCGAACTCCACTGCAAGTCAACACCACAACGCTGGATGTTACACTAATAAACTTGCTCCTACAAACACCGCCAATAATCCAAAGCGTCCAAGCGCTCACCTCCAGCCCAGTTGCAACAATTTCTCCCAAACCCACTTCCTCCCACCAGGCTTCGCCGAAACCCAGGGAACATAGTAATAACAGTGGCAACTGGGCCGTTGTTGCATCAAAGTGCATTCCAAAGTTAGACGATGCTGTTTATATTACCAAATCCATAACTAGCGTGAAAAGCACTGCAATGATGTGTGGCAAAACGTTCGGTCTCCCAAGAACAATCCATACTCCCAGGAAAGACACTCAGAAAAGATGGGATGCCCTACCTATAACGCATACTAAAGTTGCGGAGTCAACATCGAATTTTTTAAATGCGAAACAGGTGGATGACTTGAACTAATGGAACACCATAAGCAACCTGCCCGGTACTCTGACTAAACCCTCCAACTTGAGGAGGATCACCCGCCAGCCAAACTACAAGTACTGTGATGAAGCCAGGCATCATCGGGTTGTGCTAAGCTCTGCCGGTGTAGTGGAAGCAGTGTCGCTTTTGA